CGCCTGGCTCAGTGATCAGCTGTGGGGGGACCCTGGGTGCCCCCCCCCGACAAAGGAGGCACCAATTGCAAAGCCGGGGGGTGGGGGAAGTGCTTCTGGGCCACTTCTGGGTCACCGCTGAGTGTGCTGGGGACCCCCCAGCACTCCTGTGGGACATTCCATCTGCCCCACCAGCGCAGGGTTCACGAGCCTCCTCGTACTTGAGGTATGTAGAAAAAACATTTAAAGCCCTGTCTATGTCTGAATCATCGAATCTCTCCAAATCAATTCGGAGGGTTCCAATTTGATTCATAGAGATTAAAGGGTCTCCTGATTCAATTCAGATTTGGAGATTTGACTGCCAAATCAGGCCAAATCTCTGCCAAATTGAATCAGTAACTGAAGCTTTGCACAGCCCTAGTAGGGCCCTTACTGAATGGGGGAGGCAACCTAGTGATAGATGATGAGGAAAAGGCTGAAGTCCTCAATGCCTTTTTTACCTTGGTCTTCACAGGCAAGGTCAGCTCCCAGACTACTGCACCAGGCAGCACAGTTTCAGAAGAAGGTGAGTAGCCGTTAGTGATGAAAGAACAGGTTACAGACTATTTAGAAAAGATGAATGTGTACAAGGCCATGGGGCCGGATCCAAGGGTGATGAGGGAGTTGGCCAATGTGATTGCAGAGCCACTGGTCATTATCTTTGAAAACTCATGGCGACTGGAGGAGGTCCTGGATGATTATAAAAGGGAAAATATAGTGGCCATCTTTAAGAAAGGGAAGAAGGAGGATCTAGAGAACTACAAACCAGTCAGCTTCACCTCAATCCCTGGAAAAATCATGGAGCAGGTATTCAAGGAATCAATTTCTAAGCACTTGGAGGGGAAAAGAAAATGATCAGGAATAGTCAGCATGGATTCATCAAGGGCAACTGCTACTGTGGATGTGGGGAAGGCAGTGGATGTGATATACAGTAAAAGCTCTGTTATCCAGCATCTCCTGGGAATGGGGGATGCCGGATAACAAAATATGCCGGTTAATTGAGCAGCCAGGGCCACCTCTTCTCCCGCTGCATCTGAGGCATTCCTTCGCCCCTCCAGCAGCATTGCTGCCCCTCCTGTCACATTGCTGCCCCTCCCACAGGCCCTGCAGATCCCATGGGACAGGGAGGCAGGCCCCACACAGCCCCGCACAGCCTGTTATGCCCCCAGGCCACAGGGGCTCGGTAGCTCAGGCTGCTTTGCCGTGGGGGCTCAGAGAAACCAGAAGTGCCACGGTGGGCACTTCTGGTTTCACTTTATCTTACAAGCCAACATGCCGGTTAATTGAGCATGCCAGCTTGTAAGATGCCAGTTATCAGAATTTTTACTATACCCTGACTGAGCAAGGCTTCTGACACAGTCTCACACAGTATTCTTGCAAGCAAATTGAGGAAATATGTGTTGAATGGACTGTAAGGCAGATAGAAAGCTGGCTGGGGGGGAGTAGTAGATATGCTGGAGGGCTAGGATTCAGCATGACCAAGACAAATTGGAGGATTGGGCCAAAAGAAATCTCATGAGGTTCAAGATGGACAAGTGCAAAGTCCTGCACAAAGGGCAGAATAATCCCACACACTGCTACAAGCTTGGGATCAACTGGCTAAGCAGCAGGTTTGCAGAAAAGGGTTATGGTGGACAATAAGCTGGATATGAGTCAACAGTGTGCCCTTGTTGCCAAGAAGGCTTAGGGCATACTGTGCTGCATTAATAGGAACATTGCCAGCAGATCAAGAGTAGCAATTATTCCCCTCTATTCTGCACAAATGAGGCCACATCTGGAGTACTTATGTCCAGTTTTGGGCTCCCCGCTATAGAAAGGATGTGGACAAGTTGGAGACAGTCCAGTGGAGGGCAACAAAAATGGTTAGGGGGCTGGAACACATAACTTCTGAGGACAGGCTGATGGAACTGGGCTTATTAGTCTTTAGAAGAGACAGAGCAAGGAGCAATCATCTCAAATTGCAGAATGGGATGTTTAGGTTGGAAAAAAACTTTCCTACTAGGAAGGTGGTGAAGTACTGGAATGGGTTACCTAGAGAGGTGTTGGAATCTCCATCCTTGGAGGCTTTTGAGGCCTGGCTCAACAAAGCCCTGGCTAGAATGATCTAGCTGGGGATGGTCCTGCTTTGAGCAGGGGTTGGATTAGATGCCCTCCTTAGGTCCCTTCCAACCATGATTTTCTATGATTTCCTTTGGATTGATAGTGTGCGATTATTTGTTTTATAATATGCACATTGTGACTGGACTACCTCTAGTTGGTACTTTCATTTGCTCCTGGAATATTTCCTATGCACTGGCTGTCCTAATGGTTTTTTCAGTGTTAAATTGTCTTCCTGTAGTCATTTTTTTTTAGTTTGGTTTTATTAAGTTACTATCCTTCAACTTATCATCACCTTCTGTGAAAGCAGACTTTTAGCAACTGTAGCTGGGACAAACTTATTAATTTTCTTAGTAGGTCCAGGGTTTCTTTCAAAGAAAGTTCATTTTTGAATGGAGGCAGGGTCTTTAGAAAAAAGGCATCCAATAGCTCAAGAAGCCTGTTTGGATTTTTCCTGTGTGTTGGGAGATTTGTCACTATAGGCTCATAATCTGCATAACATTTTTAACCAAAAACAGTAGAAAATAAGACACTTTCTGGGCTGCAGACCACTTTTTTTGCCTTAAGTCCTACAAAGATCAACTCCTGTAACTGTTCCCAGTTCTGCTGCTTGTTCTTTAAAAACTAATAGGCAGGCCATCTTCTGTATTTTTCTATATGGAAGCCATATTTAGTTCATATTTTTTTCTCCTGACACTATATATTGTCATTCTCCCAGGAATAAAGATCCACAACAGATGGAACAATTTAATCAGGTTTTTTATTACCAAGAGTTTTCAAACATACACACTACCCTCAGTAGCTCTCTCAGCACAGAGAGAGAGAAAACGAGAAAGAGGGAGAGCATGAGCCCACGAGCAAGAGGAGAGCAGCAGCAATATGCTAGAATCATTTCCTGTAGCTCTCACAATTGGGTTGTTCAGTTTTCTAAGTGTTCATGAATGTGGAACAATAATGACATTTCTTGCTCTGTGTGTCAATTTAAAATCAATAAGGCAAAATCTGAGTTTTAATTTTTTTTCTGTGTTTAGCTCTCTCTCTCCACCATTTTATTACTGTAGGTGATGTTACTACCTTCCTCTGTATTCAGTTCCATAATTTGGGCATCATCTTTCCTTGATTCACTCTATTTTTAAAGACTCATATGACTTGGCTGTTTTTAAATCTTGCCACTTCTTAAAGAACACTGCAAAGTTCCAAGATTTTCTCTGTCCAGCCTGCTAAAGCTTCTATCTAAGACGTTCCTGTGCCTTGTTTTCTAAGTGGTTACTGTACCTTGACTACAGTAAGTTTAATTTTTCTGGGTTTGATGCCTCCAAACGTGTTGCCCTTCAAGTCCATTCAAAAACACTTCTGCCTGATTTATTGTCCTAGTTCCTAGTTCTTTTGTGCTCCCAGTTCTGCCTTGCATTTTCCATTTGGTTTCCAATTATTCTAATATTATAAAAGCCTTAGTTTGCCTGTCTGTCTGTCCATAATGCTTTATTTGCACTCCGATTGGTTGTCTTGGCAGCCTATCAGAGTGCTCTGTACAGACAGAGAAACAGAGTGGAAAGCCACCATGACAGTGGGGACTAAGGGGCCGGAGCTGGGGGTCGGAGTGGGCTCCCCCCAACAATAGCGAGCAGGGAGGGGGAAGCGGCAGGGCAGAGGGGAGGAAGGGGAGTGTGAAGGGGGGGTTACCATTGGCAGCATGCGGCTGGCTGCCCACCACTGCCCCAGCCACCATTGCCAAATACAAGCTCCTCTCCCCACTGCCAGCCCCGGGGGGGAGGGGGGAAGAGGAGGAGGGGGGACACACGGGCCCAAACCTGAAGCAGTGAGGGGAACCAGACCCGAAATGATAGGGGGAATGGGGGAAATGAACCCAAGCCCAAAGCAGCAGGTGGGGAAGGGAGGGAGTGGGTCTGGACCCAAGGTGGCAGGGGGAGGGAGGGGTGACACAGGCGTTCTGTTCTCCCCCACCAGTCATGCTTGATGGGCAATTTGCTAGTAGTATATATATGCTTCTTGTCAGGACCTTCACCTTTAGCAATATCTTAACTATCAGAACTATGGGTTAAGAGCTATGGTAGTTTAAAGGGGAAGATAGGGCAGGGTAGCTTCTTAGAGACTAATTCTTTCAGAAAGAGCCTTCATAGGTGAAAGCCTACTTTATCAGAGGCTACTCATTGCAGATATCTGACAAAGTAGGACATTTCCTATGAAAGGTTATGCTTCTTCAAATGAATTTCTCTAAGGTAGCACCCTGCCCAGCCTTACTCCTACCAGATCTATCTTATTGCACTGCTAGCATCTGCCTTCACTCTACCAGTATTGACAGCTCAGTTCTTGTTTAGTCTGCTAACGAGCTCTTCTGCAAACCACCTTTCAGTTATGTTTTCCCTTACCTATGGGGAAAACTTCCCCAAATCCATTATACCACTGCCTTAGCCTCCTTCAAATCGCTCATTAATTTTTTTCTTCCCATAACTTCTACAAATCTCTGCCAGTTGACAATGAGTATAGATGTGGAGAATGAAGACTTCCTGCTGACCATAAATAATGCAGCTGTGGAAAAGAACTCAGTCTGGATAACTAGAGAGTGAGGAAGGTATGGTAAGAGAGGCAGGATGCTACTTAAAGAAGTTAAGGCCCTAAACTGGACCCTAGTCAAACTGGGTTCTACTCCTGTTTCTGCATGCAGCATTGGCAACTCCCTTGCACCAGAGCTTCTGGACATGAGAGTTAGTGGCTCATAGTAGCCCTAGTAGCCCAAGTTCTGCGTTACTGTAGTAACAGTAGATTGTGATGACAGCACAGTGTGGTCTCTATGACCTCAGCATGGCAGTTTGTGTAAAAAGTCTGTGTTTTGGCTTGGACATTGTATGCGAGTCTGCCCTGAACTGGGGCAGAGGGGGCTGAATGCTCCCCATAGGGGGAATGAAAGGCTTCTGAAACAGAATCTCTTAGCTAAAAATCCAGCATTTACCAGTTTGTCTCCCCCTCACTTTGTGCCAAAGCTGTAAATGGTAAGAATGTTATTGTTCAGTTTCCTATTTTCCTTGCCTCATGTCATGGGTTTTGACCCAAAAGACAGGATTGTAAGTGGTTTTACCGTTTCTGTTTGAATCCTTCTCAACAGAATCTTTCCTCTCACATTTCCTTCATACAGTTTGTAAATAAATACTGCAAATCAGATATTTGACTGGTGCCCATCAGCATAGCTCTGCAGGGTACAGAATTTACAGCTCTGCAGAGCTCTGCAGATTTACACCAGCTGAGGATCCAGCACTTTAAAAAATGGATCTGCCACTTCCCTAAAGCACGGCAGCATCTCACTTGTTACAGCCACTCTGAAAGAGAATTCTGCTTTTCAAAAGACAACCTAGGGATGGCTACAGAGCCTGGGTTATACTAGGAGCAAGATCAGACAAAAGGAAAATAAGGACATGGGAGGGGCTGAGCAGAGGCATCCACACATGACACACAGGTGCTGAAAAATGGGATATAAAAATGTAATGGTGCAAAATACCCGAGAGTCACAAAACAAAGATCACAGGGCAGCTGTCTGGTTGTCACTAGCTCTTCAATATGTGCATCTTGGTAAAGAGCGTTTTGGAGAGCAAAGGACATCATGCAAGGGGCTGAATAAAAAAGCAACTCAGGCTGTCACAAAGTCATCCCAGTTCAGCTCTCCAAAACCAGCACTTGCAAATGCTCAGCACACACAAGCTTTCTTTAGCTCACTGATATTCACAAATAATTAAGAACGCACAGGACAAACTATAGAAATAGCAGATATGTAACATTCTTACCTTTGAGCCAGACTTAACTGGAAGGTACAGCCTTGAACTTATAAAGATGGGTGGGCCCAGAGGGGGTACTGTGGCATCTCCCCCGATTAGTTGATGCTACAGGAGCAGCAGTCAAGGACTTTTTTAAGTCCCTGAAGCAAGCAAGAACTTTCCCTCTGTACTCAATGGTGCATCTCCTCCTTCCCCTTTTCTCTGCCCACTGCTGCTACTGTCCCAGATGGGGTGGCTCCAGAGACATTCCTACCCAAATATCACAGGGCTCCACAGGCACCCGGGCTCAGGTGGGGAAAGTGGAAGCGGTGTCAGCAGGCAGGTGTCTCCTCCCTGTCTGATTCCCCAGGTGTTGCCCATCAGCTCAGGAGCAGGTTCAGGGAGCGAGAACCCGTCCATTGCCAATACTGTTCCTGGCTGAGCCTGACTCCCCATGCAGCCAGGCTGGAGTGTGGAAGGAGCATCTCTGGAGTCTTTAAGGCCAGGGGAGGATGCAGGGACAGTGGCAGCAGCAGGTGGGGAAAGAGACGGGACTTTAAAAAAGTCTTGCTGAAGGGGGAAAAGGGAGGGACATAAAAACAGCCCTGCTGTTCCCATGGCACAGTCTGCCTGGCATGGTGGAGGGGAGAAGCTGAGGGCAGGGAATGGGGTGCAGCTCCCTCCCCCCCACCCCTGCAGTGCCAGTCTCTACTCCCATATCCTCCTTAACAGAATCCTGGATCTG